CGTATTTTTTTCCAGATAGTTTTCAACTTATTTTTCCCTGATCAAATTATAATTAATGTTCTATGTTTTACTCTCCCTTCCTTATCCCTTTTTCTTTTACTTAGTTGTTTTCTGAATGTTTCCCTTTATTCCTGTGATCTTTTCTTCATAGCGGCACTGTCTCGGTGAAGCTTTGCATAAATCTATCAGCAATGTAAGTGATTTGCACTTACAGCTTGTAAACAGGGCATGTTTGCACTAATAAATCTGCATATCCTGTAGTACTGCTTTAGAGCTTTAGCCTATGAAATAGAATACATGGTGATATTTGAGAGGAGAACGTTTGCCGCTAGTGATCAGCAGCTTGTGTACTGCTTCCATTCATCTGTGTAAATGTATGTATCGCTGGACATCAAACACTACGTACGTGGTCATAATATGAGCAGCATTTTTATGTCATTGTTAAAGCAAGCAAGCTTGTGGGCAGTGCAAATGTGTATTGCAGAGCTTTTTACAAAGCATGAGATTGATCCTGTATTATAATTTGCAGTTTTGCAGTGCAAGTTGTAATTGTAGCCAAAATATTCTTTCTTTCTATTTTTTTGTTTTTAAAATTCTTACCGATGTTTTTAATGTGCTGAAAACCTTGGAGAAAAGTATTGAAAGTTCAGAGAATAGTGTTTAGAGCTGTTTTCTTTTGAATCCTCAATACAGGAGTATGTAGAAGGGATGCTCCGAAGACATGCAAAGGGAGGCACTAATGTTTTCAAAAATGTGCTCTTAAGGATATCAGTGTATGTACTGAATAATCAAAATAATGTTTAAAATTATGTACTCTTCTGAAAATAACTGTCAGATTTTGAATATTTGATGTACTTTCAAAAACAACAACAACAAAAAATCTTAGAAGGGTAGACTAATCTGATTTGCTTGTTAGAATCATTTAAACCTCATTGTCCTTTATTTTCTGTATACTCCACTGATGCAAATAGGCATCTCCAGAGATTGACTCATTTCAGGCTGTGGTTCTGCAGTCACTGCAATTTGAAAAAAAACCGCTCTTGAAAAGGGTATTCCTGATCTCTTCTCAGATGGCTTCCTGGCCAGATGTCAGACTTCTCTTGGTCATCTCAGTTAAAATGTTTTCTGCATTTCCAAGACAAATGAAAAGAAAATTGTTTTGCCCTTGGCCCATGCTAAAAATGTTTATAAATGATATACTGAGAATTATCAGAATTTGGAGCAGGAACTTAAGTGAGAGACAGATTTAACTTCAAGCCAAAAATAAATTTTTTCATGTCATCTTAATAAAAATTTGGCTAAGATACCGTGGTCGACTCCATTTGAATGTTATCATGACAGGCTGTTGAGTACGATGATTAAATTACCTGAGGTTCTGCAGGACTGAGCAGGACTTCCCCTAGAATTGTACCTCCTGGTGGCCGTGGTGAACGGGACAGGGCAATGGTGAGAAACCTGAGGGACAGAAACATGGTGGAAGGGACAAGTAAGAGTGGACAGAATATCTGTCCAGTATCTCAGTGTTTCCGCCACAGGCACTCAGAGGAAGAGGATCTGAGTGAAAAGTGTGGGATTTCCTTCATATGAGATTTTTAAGCAGTAATTTGTGTATAGAGTTCCCACCTAGTGCAAAGAATTGGACTGAATAATCTCTTAAGACTATCCTAACTGCGCATTCCTACAATACTAAAAATGGAGTTAGGAATGAGAAAAAGAGCAAAGGAGGGGAGAAGGAGGGGGAGAGATACTGGCGTATGGGATGGATGGAAGACAGGGAGTAGAGGGGCTAGAGCCAAGTCGCAGTAGTGGTCTCAGGGAAACAAACAAAAAAACCTGCAACGAACCTGAGAGTTTATGGATGGTGGTTAAATAGGAGCAGAGGTAATCTAAAGAAGCGTAAGAGTTACCTAAAAGCACAGGGGGAAAATAGACCTCCAGACAGGGTCTGGTTTTCACTATGTGTAGTCTGGCAGAGAAACAGGAAATAAAGGCAAGGCTTACAGGTGAAAAGAAGGACCCAGGTAGGTATGAGGTTACAGAAAGGAAGGGGGAAGGAGAGAAGGGCCCAACAGTGGATGTGGGAAGAATTAGAGTGGATGGGGATGTGAGTAGATCAAAGGGGAGTTTAGGTAAGATAGATTTTTATTTTTTTTTCTTTCCCCCCCGTAGAAGGAAGACAATAGCACAGTGCAGTACCAGATGATGATACACAGATGAAAATTCAGAGCTGGTTATGCTGGCAGTTGCATGGTGCAAACTAACCGCATCAGTGGAGTGAGTTTCTAGGGTTGAAGAGAAAGAATACAATATTCGGTTGCGTTATTGGTTTGTCTGACCAGCATGGCAGCCCTGGCCACGGTATGCTGAAAGAGATGGGCCGAGAAGTTCTGGGGCTTCTGAGGAAACTAGAACTCCACGATATGCGAGGGAAGTTTTTGTATAGATAAGTAACTGGTTGAAAGGTACGTATTAAATACAGCGTTACCAGAGCGAAGGTAGATTATCAGTGGAGTTACACGGATATTCAACATATTTTCTATTGCAGGTTGTTTATGAATAAGTAAGGTGGGAAAGTTTGCAGCTTATAAAAAGTTATTCAGGGTGGGAAGGACAAAGACTGTCTGAAGAATTACAGAATAGCTGTGAAAAGCCAAGGGGCTTGGCAATAAAACGGCAGATGAAATTCAGTGTAGATAAATGCAAAGTGATACACAAGGAAGAAAAACAAATTCTAACTTCTTCTGTAAAATGACGAACCTTACCATGACCTGTTACAACTAGAGAGTAGGTTTGGGGACTGTGATGTATAATTCCATGAAAACATCACCTCAGTGCTCAATAGGAGTCACAAAAGCAAATAAAACATTAAGAATATAGAAGAGAAACAGAGAACGTAACATGTAAAACCATATAAATCACTATATAAAACCAGAGTTTACTCTCATTTTAAATACTTCATGCTGTTTTGGTCTCCTAATCTTAAATAGTAGAAAAGTAGCAAAAGTAGGAGAAATGTGATGATAGATATGAAATAGCTTTCATACAAGGAGTGACTCATTAAGCCAAAACTGTTTAGTATGGAAAAGGGTGTAAGGAGGGAACTGATGGAGATTTACAGAAACATGAGTAGAATAGACTAAATGAAAAGGGAACTTCTTTTGACTCCTTTCCATTACAAGTATTAGAGCTCATCATGTCAAATTGGCACATCTATATGGAATTTGCCACAGGATATTATGGATGCGAAAAGCTTTTATGGATTCATATAGTGGTTGCATTTAATTAATATTTCTTCCATGAATTTGCCCCCAAGTACCTCTTCTGGTTTAAGAAGGATTGCTGGATGCTGGTAGGCTTCGGAGTCAAGATCCCTACATTTATGCCTTGGCCTTGTTTTCCCTGGGTAACCCGGGTTGGCCATTTCTGGAGGCAGAACGGGAGATTAGACAAACCTTTGGTCTGACACTGTACAATTTGTATGTGATAGTTATATTTAATGTACTTAGTAAAAGGTTTTACATGTATAGTTCAGATTACAGAATGTAGTATAGGCCTTCACTATACTCCTCCAATTGTAGCTAATCTCTTTCAAAGGTATCTGAAGTAAAATACTGTTGATATAGTATACTTAGAAGGTAGAGTATATATGCCCAGACACAAAGACCTGGTGAATTTGAAATGCAATGAGCCATGCTCATTTCATTCCAATTAATTTGCTTGTTTTGTTTTAGTGCTAATTTTCCTTTAAGTGTAGCTTTTTTTCTTTCAAATCTGCTTAAGCTCTGTCCTTCTGAAAAAAAAAAAAACAACCCCACATGTTCAACAATAATGTTCGTGCTGCAAGTTGTCCTTGGTATGCTGCTATTGATTTTTTGTTAAGTGGTGGGGTTTAATGTTCTGTAAATCAATAAATTGATGTGCAATGTCGTTATTAATTTGTCATAATTAATTTTAAGATATGCTGAATCAAATGACACTATCAGAACTATAAATAGTTCAATTTTATGTAATGCTCTGAGACTTGAAAAGTACTGATTCAAATTCTTGGTCACATGGCAATTTTATTTTTGCTTCCTTTGAGTCACTGTAGCAAAATTCTCTTTTGGTTAAATCTTGTTTCCAGAATTGGAGGATATTTCTCTCGTGTTTGGCTCTAAAGGGAATACAGGCTTAGTATTTTCAGTCTGAAAAGATGCTATCTTATGTGAAGAACAAAGTATAACATTATTATAAAAAGAAAATGGGACTTTTTCAAGGAGTACAGTGTGCTCTCTAATGTATTAAAATGCTTGTTGGGTGAAAAGCATCATTTGTAAAATCAGGTATTTCTAAGAAAATGAGTATTTGTGACTCAGATTGCTTAGATCTTAGATCTTGAAAACCAGCAGAAAAATCACTCTCATAGTATTACTGAGCTAACAAAAAAAAGTGTGTGGGGGAATCCATCAAGTGTAACATTTTTTGTGGTATAGAGTGGTATGCTACCACTTCTTTTTAAATGAGAAAACTACCAGTAAGATAGGACCATATCGTATCAAAAGATACAAAAATCAATCGATCTCGATGTCACAGACTATCCTCCCCTGTCAGCTGCAGGATTTTCCTTACAGAATTGACGTGATGTTCCCCTTAAGAATAGTTTATCTTAACAATCACGTGTTTGATTTCAGACCTTGATAGTGTCATTTTTTTTGATCTTCATAGAAAACCCAGACGTAAATTTTGATAATTCGGCCATGAAACATTGTGTTACAGGTAGTGCTGTAGTATGAACTGACAGATGTGATAACCCTTACAAAACTATTTAAATGTAATTATTATATCTCTGAGATATAATATTAACAACAAATTCAGTAGATGGATGACATTGCTTGTCTGTCTTTTAGTTACTGTTCTAGCCTTAAATTTTAAGTGTTTCCTTCTTTTGAATATTTCTTCTTTTTCAGAGTTGATGTTAGTATTAATCACTAATGGATATTTGCTGTTCTGTTGTGGGTTAGATCTCCTTACTGAAGCAGAATCTGGAGATGCAGCTTTCCCAGTCACAGAGCTCTTTGCAACAGCTACAAGCCCAGTTCAGTCAGGAGCGACAGAGGCTGACTCAGGAGATCCAGGAATTAGAAGAGGAGCATCAGCAAAGGCATAAGTCACTTCAGGAAGCCCATATCCTCGCCTTTCAAAACATGGAAGAAACGAAAGAGCAAGAACAAAAGGCATGTTCATATGGATATTCTGAATTATGTAGAGAATGTTGCCATTTTAGCAATTTATGTACACAGTTGGAATTAGTAAAGAAAAATATCTGCATAACGACTAAATTTCCTTTTCAGCTGATGTCTTATAGTAACATTTTTATCCAATTAAATCTGATTAAGACATACTGAAAATCATCTCTAATACTGGCATTGTTTCATGTCTTGCTTTATACCCTACCAGTATATGCATATATATAGGTATATATACATATATGTAAAATATTATCAATGCACACGTTTTTTTATGGTAGTTTGACATTTTTAACCGTAACATTATATTCTAGTTTTGATTTGGAATAGGTTTCTCTGTATTTTCCATTATAGTCACCTGATTTCTTATGGTTTTTTGATATTTCTGATATTTCCTGTCAATTGACTCCTTTTGTAATGTATTTTATATTTTCATTATGTTAAAAATTGTATAAACTATGTTCTGCAACTTGCAAGATAATTTTCATGTCCAGAACAATGTCACACCCAAGATATTGTTTTAAAACCTTGACTAAACCAGCTTTAAAATTGAAATTTTGGCAGTGCATGGTACTTAATAGGGTGTGTGTCTTCAGGTTTTTTTTAAGTTCAGATCCAGAGTGTACCTTTGCAATCAATTTTCCCATTGTCCCCACTTAATGTACTTTGGTTCACATCATAGACTGGTCTTGGAGCACACAAGGTGGATTCCTTTTGTTTGAAATGAAACTAGAAGATGTGCACCAGGAACATTATGCTTCATACACTTCAATAGGGAATAAACATGGTGTCAATGGGGAGCAAAAATCCCCAAGTGTGTGTTGCGTGCACACTAGACCCATCTATGGATCTGCACCTTATCACATTGCTTGCTGTTGTAAATATATCCATAGATTGTTTTTTTTCTCTTTTCTAACTGTGAGCAGAACAGAGTTTTTGTGCACAGGTAATCTTGATAAGCATCAGCCACTGAAAAGAAAAAATACAGTAGTAGGATAACTTAGTGAGAGGAGAAAATATAAGCAATATTAGTGCATTTTTAATAATTTCTAGAGTATGCCAATGCCTGCTTTTTGTTGCCACTTGTTTATTGTTTAATATTTTATAAACTCCCTAAGCTGGTATAGAATAAATTTTGTCAATTTTGATTTCATAGGAATTAGAAGAACGTTTACAACAGAAGCACTCGGAAGAACTTCAGGCACTGAAAGAAACACATAAACAAGCCATGGAAGGTTTCAAATTGGAGATGGAACAGGAACTTCAGACTTTACGATTTGAGCTGGAGGATGAAGGAAAAGCTATGTTAGGTATACTATTTTGAAATTTCCAAGTAGGTCCAAACCCATCATTTCTACTCATACAAATATACACGCACATATATGTTGGTACGTGTGTGTGTATTATAACACTGTAGTGTATCTCAGAGTCATTCAGTGTTGACCTAGTTGTTCCTCTTAAAATCAGTATAAACTTTAACAGGTAAGCTCAAACTGTTCACTTTTGAAAAATCTTACCCTTAAGTTTTTTTGGAAGGAGTAAGCAACCAAATTTCATGATGGAGACTGATTCAGAAAGTAACAGGAATAGAATGACAGGACAGTTGCTTAGCTGATGTAAACAGTGTGTGTTAGGTCAGCAGCAATACTTAACAGACCTGGACTGTTATTGTTAATTAATGTAAACATTTGCAAAATAAACTTTTCTTTTTGTTCATGGTAACTAGCTTCCTTGCGCTCAGAGCTAAATCATCAACATGCAGCAGCAATTGACCAGCTAAGGCACAACCATCAACAAGAACTGGTAGCTGCCAAAATGGAGCTTGAAAGAAGCATAGAACTGGGCAGGCGACAGGTAGGAGGCATTGCTGGCAACTGACTGTAAAATTGCATAATCAGTATTCGTTTTCTCTTAGCTGGAGGCAAGAACTGTTGTGAACAAACAACAAACATGTAATCCTTCAAAGTCAGCCAGCACCAGCAGATAATGCATCCCTACCAGTCTACCTAATCTTCCTTGCTTAGCTTTTTCTTCCTTTGACAAACTTCATTCGAAGCCTGGTAAAGGCTCTCGTGTCAAAGCAGTTTCCTCTCAGAATTGGGCAGCCCTCTGGGAGCACTCTGGCTTGCCGTGGGAGGAAAGCGCCCATTCTCACAAAATTCTACTCGTCCTTAGGTCCAGCAGGACTTAAAAAGGAAAAAGCTGTTTCTCTCCGAAGCCTAAGCGATATGGCTAAGAAGTGTCTGCTTAAAACCAAATGATTGCTTCAAACTTAAGAGGTAGCTTAGTCTCTTTTTTTGTCAGGAGCCAAATGGGAAAAGATAAGTGAGCATCTAAAGGAAGCAGAGAAGAAGCCGTAACAGCTTGCAGCTGTTTCTTGAAAAAAAAAACCACACCCAAACCCAAAAAACAAAAACAGCCCCCCAAATCCCAAAGCCAGTATGGACTACCTTTGCTTTCAGCAGCAAACTGATTCATTCACTTTTATCTTTCATTTTTCACTTTATACACAATCAGTTTTTCCAGTAGTAACTAAAAATTCAGAGCTTGATCTCTGTTGAAAGGAAGCCAGACTCCTGGAAATAAGAGGACCAGAAATTACTTCTTTATTTGCCTATACAATAGGCTTTTCAGGACTGATTTACTGATAGTCCAGCACCAAGGAGGTGGAGTGGTTTTAGAAATATATTAACAGAGGAAACAGATTTAGTTGGACGTAGCCTTTACACAGAAACAGACACAGTCAAAGATGAGCCCTTCTTTTTCTCTTCCCTGCTGGTCTAAAAGTGTGATCACGAGAGGCAAAAATGTGGTGCTGTCAGCAGTGAACGAAAACATGCAGGGTTTAGGAGGATGTAGTTTCAGTCGTGTGTTGTTTAAGCCTAGAGTGAGGCACCTAAAGGAGATGGCAGAAAAAAAAGAAGTTTAAATTACAAGACCAAGTGTTTGATCCAACGTGTGCCATGTACTTTTGGCCTCAGTACAACAATCTGCTAAGCACGAACTTTAGTTGTACTGAGGGCAAAGCAATTAATTGTGGTTTTCTGTGTTAGAATGGTCATTGGTTCACAGGATCAGAGCTGAACTAGATGCAGAGAGGTCTGAGCAGGATGATTGTATTTGCTACTTTTCGAAATATTTAAATATGTGGAAATAAATTTTCCACTGCTTTTTCTTATAACTTTAATATAGTCCTTCTATAGGGAAGTAGAGAGTTATTTTTGAAAGTCTATTCTTAAAGATGTGCTGTAAAATTTGTGCATTAGGATACCTCTGTATTTCCTGGATGCATGAAGGCACAAAACACATTTATACATAAAACTACTTTGAAATATCTGCTGATTTTCTATCTGTGCAAACTATATGGTCATTAATTATTCTGAAACTGTAAGAAGTGGAACAGATGGAAATGGAGAACTCTGAAAATTTTATTTTCTAAACTGAGGAGAATCATTATCAAAATCATTGCGATGGGTTCCAGATGAGTTTCCCAGACGTTAAGTTCGTTGAAATTTCTTATGCAAAAAGAATGACTTTTATTGATTTATTGGACACAATATAAACATTATTATAATATAAACTATTTAGCACGTATTCTGCTGTGATGTATTTATTAATGACCCTTATATTTATATACACATAAGATAGGAGACTTCTGAATCACAGTGCTTGTTGGTGCAGGGCATACATCTTGAGCTATTTTGTCCCATCGTGTGGGGCTATAAAGGGCAAACCAGTTTCTCTATATCGTCTGTTGAAGAGGTAGAAAATGCTAAATGCGCAGTCCCCTGGTTCTTAGCGGTATCTGGTTTTTTGTTGTATGTGTGGGCAAAAGGAAAATGTGATGAGCTACGCAAACTTTAACAGGCAATGACAATGAGAGGTTTTACATTTTCTTGCGAATGGAAATTGTTTGTTACATAACTTTGATTTCTTCTTTATTTGTACTTGTACACAATTAAAAAAACACCTCAGTTTTAATTATAATTTGTGTCAGCATCAAAAACTGAAGACATTGTCTATTGAATGGAAAATTCTGCTCAGCTGATACCTTCCAAAAGCAAGTATTGTGCATCTGAGAGACAAGTCTGGTTAAAATATTTTTTGCTGCTGCTACTTATATCATAGGAGAAGGAATTTTTATGCCGAATATCAGATCTACAAGATGAACTGAGACACCGTGACCATCATATAGCTGAACTGGACAAAGAGATTCTGCATCTTCATGAAAATATAAGTGCATTGACCAAGGAATTAGAGTTTAAAGGGAAAGAAGTTCTTAGAATACGCAGTGAATCCAACCAACAGATCAGGTATGAATTTTTCCACTCTAGGCTCATATGTGTATGGTTTCATGTATTGTTTTACTTGAGAAATTTTACCATTTGCAGCTTTTAATTTATCCTCTTAATCAAGTGATGTTATATATCATTTAGTCGTCTTTAGAAAAAGCTATGCCCATTACTAGTAAAGTTAGTGAATGTTACCATACAGTTAAGCTGCATTTCAGTGACACATTTTGGCATATTTTAGTAACAGTCCATTCAAGTGTTGGTTTTTGGGTTTTTTGGTTTTGTTTTTTAATTCATTATTTTTGTTTATTTAAAAAAGCATTAAAGGAGATCCATTTTCCATGAAATAAGCTAGAAGATTGGAGGACAGTAAGTAGTGGGTTTTGATGAATCAGTAGTTCCTTTTGTGTTGTCTGATATTGTGTAAAAGCCGTGAGAAGCATGGCAGAAAATCATGATGAACAAACAAATCTGATTTTAGAATAACTCTTTTTTTAACAAAAAATAAATTAAACAGGATGCATGAGCAAGATTTAAGCAAGAAACATGAGAAAGAGCTGGATGTCTTGACAGCAGATCACATCAGAGAGAAACAAAGCATGCTGGCAGATTTTAATAAGACCCAAGAGCTGCTCAAGGAAATTAATTCAGCTTTACAGATTTCGTAAGTTTTGTTGCGTTAAAAAAATTTGTATGTAGCTGCGTTTGAGTGAATAGTTTATTCTGGAGTCCATAAGTTGCTGAAGATATTGCAGAGGTGCAGATGCACAAAAACCCCAATCAAGTATGAGGCCTAGTCTTGCATTCTTTAGGCAACACAATTCTATAAGCTTTAGGGGAATTTAGTGAGATAAATTGTTAGGGATTTGAGACTGAAAAATTTCAAGTAGGAAAGATATTAAATCTGTGCAGTTCTTAGAAAATTGGAGAAAACATTATTTCAAATGCTTTTTCTCAAACTTTAATACATCTCTTTTGAGAACACGAGTTTCTTCAGCAAGTTTGTAAACAGTACAATATTTGCTATTAAGAAGTCTGATTGTAGCACGAGTGATGCAAAGATTTTCAGGTTTGCTAACATAAGGAAAATAGTGTCTGAAGTGGATTATATGAGCATAACAGTAACAAAATACTTAGAGTGTCTCTGAGTCAAAATGCCACCTGGGGTTAGATCACCTCTGGGCAGAAGTGGTGTAGTAGCGTGTCATCTAGCCGGTGTTTTTCCTGTCTTCCACATCCTTCATTCTTTATCTCTGTCTGTGATGTAACCCGTTTGGTCAGGGTTTCTGGCTGAGGTTTCATAGCACATTGAGGGCTTCCTGACACAAAGTTGTCACTGAGGGATTTATATTTGCAGCACAAAAGATTTATGGCAGAGAAAATAATTGGTTCTAAGTATACGATAGAAAACTTTTTAAAGAGAATATCAATTAAAAATGGACAATAAAGCCCAAATACATCTAACTGTTTCTTGGTCATAAGCACTCGGAAATTGTCTTCAAATAAGATGGGTATAAAATCCTAGTTCTTACTCCCTCGTAATTGTCCACATGCACACTCTTGTGCCCTGATAAACGTGGTAACTTGCCGTTCAGTAAATTAGGTCTAAACTACCTCCTGTTTACTGCATTTATCTTGTATGGGAAACATGCCCATGAGCAGCCACCAGAACTAGGTTTTGGAACTGTTTACCCTAACTTTTTCTCCCATGAAGTTGTTTGTTTTTCAGTGTCCTGAAATTTTCTGAATCTAGTTGGTTCCCTACTCCTGGTTCTTGCTCAGCTTAGAGCTGTGAGGAAGCAGCCACTGGCCTAAAGACAGCAAACATTATGCAGGGTGCCCTGACCTGGCTTTCAGTGTGTTCTCTCTCTCCACTTACACTGAAGCAAGGAGCTGTCAAAAGAGGCAACTATGTAAAAAAAACAAAGTAAACAAAAAAACCCAGAAGACTTTTATGCAGCTATTTCAAAAGTAACTGTTGTCAGGTTTGGCCTCACCTAAAGCATGGCCTTGTGAACGTTTATGAAATGGAGAATCTATCTTACAGTAATTGAGAGTGGGTATTGTTAATTAGGCTCTACAACTCGAATCTTTACATTACATGTCTCTTTGAAACAGGAAAAAAACCCAGTTCTCTGAAATATCTGAAAATAAAATGACAGCTTGCATAACTATGTACTGTACTCTGGGGATCTGTATACAGTAGCTTAACCCAGCATAAAATGTATACACAAGAATTAAGACAGCTGAGCATAGTTCTGTTCTGCTGAGTCAAATGCCTTTTCTGCAAATAAAAACAGTTACGTTGTTCACATTCATAATGTTTTATGTAAATACATTATATAATCTCAGATTATGTACAGGTTATTTGACAGTTATAAATATAATTTATATGAACTGTTTTTTCAGATGCAACTCAAAGTAAAAATCACATAGCTGCTTCTGAAGGGAAAATATTTATCTAAAGTGAGAAATTATGTCTACTTCCAGGTGTCTTGTGGAATTAAGTTTGAGCTGACTTAGACACCTTAAATTCATAGATTGTTCTCCCTTGTTTGGGATTTTTTTTTTTAATTTCTTTTTTCATTAAGTTTGTAAAATTTCCTGAACCTGTTCTGAAACTTGGTTCACTAATCTACATGAGGGCTGAATATGTGAGACAAGTATTTTAGTAGTTTCCTTTGGAACAATGTTTAGCATCATAAGCATTATATTTATGTTTCAAAGAGGCAGTCATTTGAAATTGTCATGTCTTCAAAACTCATTCTTTAAGAAGAACCAAGGAGATTTATGCAGTTACTTGTACAATTTGTCTCTCAGTTGGCTTATTTCACTTCTCTCCTTTAATGCTTTCCCACTAGGCATTTCAAATATCCTCCTATTTTTTCAACGTTTATCAATTGTTACATTTCACTTAATCCAGTTATCCTAATACCCAAGTATTACTGCTTTTCTTTTGCAGCTCATTCCTTTATTTCATCTCTAATGGTACTAAGTTGCTTTTGTGGAGAGAAATTAGTTACCTATTAGTCTTCACTGTTCTTGGATATCTTTGTCCCAGTATGTTCCACATGAACTGAGGAAGACGGTGCCAGCCTTGTCCGTCTATCCAGTTTCTCCAGTATCACAAGCATGCATCTTTATTCAGAATAGTCATCTATAAAAAGAACAATGATACTGTTTGTTTTCCTTATCAAGAAACTGAATCGCCAGCTTTTAAAATTTACGTTAATATTAAATATAATGCAATGTAGTTCCTATATTTTACATAAGAATCAATCTTAGCTATGTCTTCTGTAATTCTACTGTCCATATTATGGTTTTGAATGCCTTACTTTCAGTTTGACTTCCAAGAGGCCTTTTTTCAAACACCTAGTACTGCATGCACAAGAAGGATGTTAAGTTTTTGGAATTTTGCCCAGATTATTAGTTACTGGAGCAAAGGTTATGGTTGTTGTTGATTTTTTTTTTTTTTTTACCTAGCTAAGGTTGAATGATAACATAGAAATTAAATTACTTCAAGGTGATAAGAAAGTCATCTTCTGTTTTTACTCCCTGAACTCTCTTTTGTACTAATCAAAGATGTGACTTATTCGCTCATCATTTAACACTGGATCAGGCTAAAGGGGGTATTCTTCTTTCCTATAAAGTTTAGAAGAAATGGAAGAAAAATATAAAAACAGAGAATCAAGACCAGAAGACCTGCAGCTTATTTCAGAACTGAAAGACCTAATTGCAGAGCGGGACCAACTCATAAAGAAATTGATTGTAAGACTTCTATGCTCTCTTGGCTTAATATCTTGACAGATATAAAAGTTAACCTAATTCAAAGTGTTTGAAATGTACTTAAAGAACCAATCCTGCTAGCATGTTATTCATATTTTTTAACACCTTATTCCTGTGGTTCCAATGACTCATAATAGTAAAACTAATTAGATGCAGAGAGTTTTGCACAATCAAGCATAATACATTATTACAAAAAATATTTCAGTATGACCTTGATCAGACGCCTCCTATCTCCAATCCTGGAATAAGCCAGCCATGTAAGCCATATAAGAAATAGTCTCTTCTGTGAGGTTTCTAAGACCAATTTCCTGATCCACTGAGCTTCCCAAATTCAGAGCACAACACCCAGGCTCAGATTGGTCTGATTAGATCCTGATTCAGAGGCAAGAAGGAATGAGGAAATTCAGATTAATTAGAGATCAGGAGTTAACCACACTGAGTCTTTCCCAGTCCATAATCCATTAGGCTATGCTCACTCTCAGGAGCATAGAACTGCAACAGAACTGCATAAATAGAAATGATTTAGTATTTACATATAATAACAACGTATAAAACACATTAAATATGAAATGCAATTTTTAAAATTACCAGTTTCTTTAGGAACATAAATTTGAGATCATTTTGTAGGCCGATCTGGCCACTAACTGATTGAAAAAGCATAAAAAGAAGTTTCTATTTGTTCTTCTTTTTAGGAGGACAAAAAGTTCTATCAGCTGGAGCTAGTTAACAGGGAGACTAACTACAACAAAATGTTTAATGCAAGCCCTAATGTTGGTGTTATTAATCCATTGGTGAAGGTATGTTCCATGGACTTCATTGCTAAAGTGAAGAAAAAGAAATCTAAACTTAGGATATAGTAGAAAGTAGTAGTATATGTGTATGTGTGTGCCTGCGTGTATACATGTATCACTCTTAAAAGACATGTTCAAAACAAGGAACATAGTTTTCCATTTGTCTCTACTTATTTTTGTGTAGGTTTGTTTCTTTTGTGGTGTTGAGAGATCCACTGATGTTGTTGCCTTAGTTTGCTAGACATGTGTGACATAAAACACAGTTCTTCTCACAAAACTGCAAAATCAAAATAGAGAAGTGACAGAAAGGCAACAGAGGGCAGGACTGTAGCATATAATAGAGAACAGTGACACCCGTAACCGCTTTTAGTTTCATAATTTTTCTTGGTTATTTTGGAAAGTGCAAGGGCAATTTCATTTTTCAGGTGGTGCTCGGGATGGAAGAGCATTAGAAAGATAGAGGGAGAGGGGATGCTAAAGGAAGGGAATAAGGGTAAAAAGGGGAAGGAGAAGAGTATGAGAAGGGCGTGGAATGAGTCTGAATGGGAACTGGAGTGACAAACCAGGTACGGACTGGGGGGGCAACAGGAGACAGAAGTCAGTCTCTAGCCTTCTCACGTATTGACACCTTCTGTACGAGTGAAAGCACTTCAGTAGCAACCTTTTCCAGTTCTCTAAAAACCTGCTGAATAGCAGCCAGTGAAGGCTACAGTACAAGCAGGCATAGTAGCCTCCCTGTCACTTCAGAAGCCAGCAGCGTTCCTTCATGAGGAACATGAACAGACTGTGGTAGGGTACTTTAATTCTATTTCTTTTCACCACTTCAGGAGTAAGAATGAGTTCTCTGACGTTTCCCTCCTCCTTGAGATAACCCATAGGTTATTTCACCTGCATGGAAAGGGAAGAGATTCGTCCCAGCTGTAGAGGCAGAAGAACTTGGGAAGGTTCTGAAGCAGAGGGTAACCCAAGGGGCACAACATGAGCAGCTCTGATGCCTGAGAGCTTCAGTGATCAAGGCTCAGGCTCCGTTATTTCAAAGGAGGTCTGGCTCCGTTATTTGAGATCAGGCTGTGTTATTTAGCTAAGCCTTATTGTGGTTTCCCGTCAGATCAGCGTATTTCCCACTTCTGCACAAACTCTGCTGCAAATTGACAATATTCTCCTACGTTTTTCAGGAGCCCAGCACCTCTCACAAGCTTATCTGCAGATGCCTTACTTTTATGCATAACTGCATAAAAGAACTTAGTTTGGCCCCAGCAGAGACAATACCAGGACTGCCAGACGCAATTGGAATGCTTTGTTTTCATGTGATAAAGGTTGTTTGAAAATTTTGGAAGGTAAAAATTAAAGATGTGAAATGTAACCATCAAGTATATAAGCTTGCGTTTTGTGTGAAATCTGAAGTGTTTGGGAAAAGTACTTCAACATCAGATTTCCATAGTGATGATTCATATGTTTTTTATAATATGCTTCTATCACTTAAAACTGTTTAGACTTTAAAACCACCTTGTACACCAGAACATTTTGATCTCTCATTTCATGAGTTGTGGACCATGTTACTTTATTTTGTCAAAGCACGTACTGTGTTATTGGAGAATGAATTACAAAGAAACCGAAAATCTCATTCTCTTTTCTTTTTTGTAATAGAAAGACAGAATTTATGAGTGAGTTACAGGCTTTGCATATTAATGCAAAACCACAGCCATTGCAGTATGTGTTACAGCTTCTCTAGTTTATGCAATGGATCTGTTTAGTATCACATTGTTACATCTGAAGTTTCTTAATACTTTGCATGAATTTCATGGAAACAATACACACAATTTTGTCTTTCCAGATTTGACTGCTTCAGAAGCATAGATTGTTTGATAGAGAATAAGATAAAACTGTACTATTTTTCTAAGCACTTATGTGGATAATATACATTTTCCAGAAATGAGCCACCTATGAAGCACACAGATTTAACTACAGTGTGTTTAACATGCAGTTTTAATTACAGTGTATATTACCTTGCAGATGTTTTTTACGTACAGTTTGTTACTTTTACCAAACTATTTTTTCCACCACAATGTTATTTCTTGCTTCTTCAGCTACTACAGAAGTAGTAACGTGTATGGGACGATCTTAGTTTAATCCTTTGCAGCTAATGATCTTTCACTGTGATGCTTAAAAAAGACTTTCTTTTATTACAGCTTTCTGTTAAATTGTTGGGGTTTCTTAATTGTATTTTGACAAGCACATCCACCAGTGTGGCTACAATTAGTAGCATTTGCATCTGCCAGCCCTGGAGAGGTCAGGCACTGAAATCAAAGCTAGCAGAGAGCTAAACGGAAGAAAGTGCAAACAAACAATAGGACTCTCTGTCTGTCTCCCTTTGAACTTGTGCCCACCCTTGAATAGAGCAGCTCGTCTGTCTCAAGTGGAATTCTGCTGGGAAACATTATATAGAAACAACATGAGATTCCACTTATTTTTCACTTTATTTAGTTCAAATTTGTGTAGTTCATAAGCCCTCGAGGAAGGGTTTTTTCTCCTAGCTGCTTTGTTAGGGTTGCACATATGTAATTGAATGAAAGTATTTATTATATAGTCAAATAATATAATAATTCATGAGAATAAATGAATCCATTCATTCAAAAATCCTATTTTTGGAAATAAGGCTTTTAAAATATTAATATTGTATTGTGGACTTGGAATATTTGATAGAAGTCAGAAAATACACATGGCGTTCTGTCACACAGCTGCTTTTAAAAAGCTGTAGAATTATTTGAAGCATCCTAATACATTAAAATGTCTATAAAAGTAGAGAGGATAAATACTGATTCCTTTGTATGACGTGTTATGGAGAGTAAAATAGTGATATAAAAATAAAATTCTTCAGTATTTTGAGTCCCTTGAAATACTATCAGTAGGAGTATAGAGAGTATTAAGAAACGAAAGATGTTCAGTTGTGCCATCTGGTGTCTGGAAGCGGCAGCTGTAGTACCATTAGAAGCCTGGCCTTTTCCTTGTGCAAGAAACTGAACTCCTACACAATAACCTTTTGTCTGTAGCAGTACTGCTATTATGCTTGCTAACGATGAGGGCGTAATTGCTTTAAAAGAAACGTAGCTGCTTTCCTAGGTTCCATGTTCCAGTTACCAAAATGTGCCTCAGTGATGGGGTGAAACCTGTTGGAGAGATTCACTTTTTTCGTCATTGAAATTTGCTGTAATTACATTTGACAGCAGAGCTGTTTCACCGATATCAAGAAAAGATTTACGTAAACATGAAAGGTTTAACAGGCTAAATGACAATTTTGTGGAAAACTTCCTATCTCCAATGTGTTAAACAGAGCAAAATGTTATATTGGAAGATCTCATGTAATATATTCATTGATTATTACACTAAGTCTTAATAACTTAATCATCTTGATCAGAAGTTTGATTTTTCTGTGAAAATTTGCAGTGTTCAGTTCTGGTCAAAGCAAATAGTAAAACTACAACTGGAAAAAAAGCCCAATCTGTCCCAATTGCTCTCCTTCAAAAAAACCCCCCAAACCAGCCATCAACACAAGTTTTAAATTTGCAAATTTCCTCATCTGTCCTGGTGCAAGAAGCCTTCCTTACGTTTGTTATTTTTAATGCAGCAAAAGAAGAAGAACGATAAATCAGCAAACAGGTTTGTGAGTGTCCCCAATCTAAGTGCTCTGGAATCTAGCGGAGTGGTGGGCAATGGACATCCTAACCGCCTGGACCCCATTCCTAACTCACCCATCCACGATATTGAGTTCAACAGCAGCAAACCACTACTACAGCCAATGCCACCCAAAGAGCCCAAGACGTTTTTGAGGTGAGCACTGCCTCACCAATCGGTTTTTTTCCTTTTTTTTTTTTTTATTTTTGCTAACTCAGGAAAATTTTGCATTCCTATTGAGCTGAATCCCACTTGCTTTATGAACCTTTCAGAGGTACAAGTACTCGTGGCATTTTTAATTTTTACATTAAATTGTAACCTCTTTGTAGTATTCCTTTTTATTGTAGACCTTGTTGAAATGTGAAGTATTCTCTCACTTTTTCATAAGTCTTGAACTTTGAAAACCTCTTTAGATACTTTAACAGAATTCATGTGCTTCCAATTGTTTACATATATGAACAATTGTTTTAAATGTTGGGTGTTACTTACCGATTGTCGTTTAGGAATTGATACTAGCACAGAACTTCTTTTATTCGGTATTATGTGATAATGGTTTTTACGTAAGAAAACTATTTTCTGTGCTACATGAATGTTTTGTGTTTCCCCTTTCCTCACCTATATCAAATTGTTTCATAGGAGTAACCTCACTACAGCAACAGGAAACGTGCATGCTTGGATGCTTAATGCTGAGCTTCTGGTGGTCAAAACCAGCATTAAAGTCTCAAGTAATTCTCTCAGAAAATAATATAGTGAATCGAGTAACTTAAAAATGGCACTTTAGAGGCAGGATTGTCATCTTTTGGCTTTACGTGCCTTCATACTAAATGCACTGACGTGCTGTACTCCGTATTTAGTAGGTGCTGATCTCTTACCTCTAAGTTGGCAACTTAAAGCAATGTGTAATTACCAGTTCCAGTTGGTCGTTTACTCTCCCTTTTGGTTTAATGCAAAATACCACATAGCTAGCAACTACTAATTATAAAAGGAAACAAATAATAGAATCGAAAATAGATAAGGGAAACAGTCTATTTCAAGAAAACACTTTTTAAAAAAAAATACCATTGCTTATTTTTTCCTGTGCATGTGTGCTGTGCATGAGTGTGCTCAGATATCTGTAACATGCATGTGCATGAACTCATGGACTGTGATGCTGGAGTTTCCATTCCAAATTATTTTGTGCTCTGTATTATCCAGTAACACAGTAGGGATTATTTTATTACTGATTTTTATTGACAAAGGAACTTAATTTAAATGAGATTTAAGTATTCTCTCTTGCTCATCTTGTGAGAATTTCAAGTGTTCAAGGGGGAAACAAATCTTGTTTGCAGTGCAGCAGTTTCTTTTTTCCTAGTATATTAGCGTATGTTAAACATGTGCATGGACAACAATGCAAGTGATATTTGTGATCAGTGTTAAGTATTAAAATAGTGTGTATTTTTGTTCAGTTGCCAGCCAGTCTTTGTGAGCACGTGTCTACAAATATGATGCCCTCATCATATTTTTGAAAACTAACTTTACCACAGGAAAAGGATGCTAAAAGAGGACCACCTACAGTCACGCTTTTCCAAGAAAACCCTTTTTATTCTTCTTGAAAACCTGCAGCTGTTTATGAGATTTTAAATTATGTTTTCCAAAATATTATTTGCCCACCCTATAATGTGGCTTCTGAACTGACTTGTCCGTGCTGCTGATGCTCTCCAATGGAGTGGATGATCACAGATTCTATAGGGAGAACTTAAATCATGTCCTGAGGCACACCGATCATTGACCCATGGAAAAACAGACTGTGTTCTTTGCTGAATATTCTCTGTGATTTTTCTTCTCCTAACATTTGTACTTTTTGTGTAGTTGTGGGATAATTGTTGTGTTTTTTCTTTCTGTGAATTTAGCCCTCCTCAGACTGACGCTTCGCCAGTGGCTTCACCAGATCCACAACGCCAGGAGTGGTTTGCCCGATACTTCACGTTCTGAGAGATGATTTGTTCTTGCGGCACAGCGCGATGTGGACTGTTTATAAGAGCATGACCTTAAGTAAACCCTCATGTGAACAAGCGTTCCTGTAATTTGTCAAACACTGTGAATGAGAAAGTATTTGTCTTTCTGATTTGAAACTGCACTGTATTTCATGTTATATGTGTGGGAATCACTCGACATGGTACTATATAATGTGTGTAATTATAACTATTATTTTTATTTAAAATGGAAGAATCTTTAAACTTTGTAATTACTTACATAATAAATTTTGGTAGAACAAACATAATGCTTTCCCCCTTTTTCCTACAAATGTGTTTTCTTTGATTTCAGGTAAGGCTTCTCCCCAAAAAGTAACGTAATTGCATGGTTACTATAAGTACAATTTAAATTGTAAAAGGAAAAAATACATGTATCTCTCTCTCTCTCCAATTTGGGCAGGATATGTATAATGTGTCCCAATTCTATTCCGTTACTTTGTAGTAGTTTAAAAACTGTCTCTTTCTAACATTTCAAGGGAAGAACGTGAAATAAATCAAAACTAGTGTAGCTGCTAGCCTTCAGAGCAGAGTAATTTTGACAAGAGGATGAAAAAAGCCACAAACCAGGAGCTGTTCACTGGGGGGGGTTGACTCCTTACCTGTTGCTCACAAGATTCTGCCATCTAGTTATAATCAAACATTATCACTGAATTTAAGCAGAAACTTCCCACAAGTTACGTATTTCTTTTATGAATATTAACAAAAACAAGCTTGAAGCGTTTAGAATACTGTACTAAGTATCTCTGCATAAATCAAGAATCTACATTTTGAGCATATAGCCCTGCTTTGGATAAAATTCATGTCTGAAATGAAAAAAAAGAACCAAAAAACCCCCACCAACTGACCACCCAACTTTTTCCCATTTATACATACTACAGATAGAGATCTTTCATTAAAACTTAATTACCTTCCCTTGTCCATATTAAAGTTTTTTCTTCTTCTTAAACTGATATATGAAAATGGTTTTTCAGCTAGTGAGCATGATTCTCCAATCTACACCTTTTATGATGCCAGTGTGGGTCGAGAAATTTGCTGCAGCATATAGAAAACTAGAGCTTATTGTCTCTTTTATATTTTTTTCATTCAAAGATCACCACAAAGTAACTCACACTGGTAGTCTCAGGGAGAAAATTGTCTCTTTGTTTTATGAATGTATTTTTAAGCTGAATCTCTTATCTTTTAAAAGCAGGAAAAAATGAGTTATTTGAATAAGGTTTTAGTTAGCATAGGCAAAGGTCTTGAACTTTAATATTTCATCTGAAGCCCTAACTACATCCTTTTTTCGCTATATGCATAAAGGTAAATACCCAGATGAAGATACTTGCTAATTACAATGAGTTTTATATGTAGTATATGTATAAATGAAAAATTTGTATGTTTTCATATAAAAAATATAAAATCTTCTAAATGAACATTTTAGAACTTCTATCCTTTAATTCAGCTTGAAAACTCCACTGAAAGCTGTATTCTGGTGATGCTGCCGTGGATTAAAGATGTATACAGCAGATTTTCTGTAGCTGGTGGACTCAACTGTAGGCATATGCAACTTTTTAATTTTAGAAGAAAGCCATATTGGGCAAAAATGTCAGATTTCTTGGCTGTTACCCAAAATAAAATACACTAGCTCATTTTGTTATAATGTTCTGAAGTGAGTGTTGCGTATTTTTTCTTGCATGCTTTGCAAGGGCTCAGCCCCTTTTTCCCATCCTCCACTTCATTTGTACATTTTTACATACGGACTTAGTAACCGAACAGTAATCCGAAGACAATAATACCTGCATTTACTTTTACCTACTCAGTAAAAGGCGTGCCCATTGTTTTTTTGCTAGTAGGCATTTGTCTTTCGGAAGGGAGAAGAAAGTTAAGAAGCACTCAGTTACCATGTCTGCCACACTCAGCAGCTGTTCCACTACCAAATCAGTCTCTCAAAAACAAAGATCAACCAAACAAAAAAAGCCCAAAACCAACTGGAAGAAACCAGGAAAAAATTTATTTTCTACCAAATGGCATTGAGAACTAAGTAAAATGTATTCCTAAAAAAAGTTAGTATCTGGCACTGGGGATTAATACAGGAACTTGCATTATTCCTGTATTAATACAGGAACACAATGCCATTGTGTTCCTAATCTTTGCAATATCTGGTATTCTGGAAAAAGCTAAAAGTGCACATGTTCTTGAGTCCAGTTGTGCAGGGAGTTCTGCAAAGTCTCTGCTCACGCATGCACGCAGTCTTTCCTAGCTCGAAAGAGCTCCAAGTAAGGAGGTACAGAATTAGCGTGAAGTTGCATAGTATTATTTACAATGGTGGGAAAATCTTTTGGCTCTCAGGAGCTCTCTCTCTGCACTCTGACACATTAAATCTCATTATCAGCACTTAGTGTAACTAATTCCCCTGACCCTTTAGTTTTATTCGGAAAGAACAATAAAAGGTCAAAGAGCAAACAACAAGAATTGTAATATTTTAATCCTTACTGTGTTCTCCTATGGAAGAAGGAAGTAACAGGCTATACTTGATACAGGGGCAAAATGCCCAAGAATCCTACATTTCATCAGAATATCATCATAATAATCAGTCTAAAGGTCGGGTTTGGCCCTTCAGTCTGGATTGCTCCATTTACTTCTGTGGTCAGAGTTTGAATGCCAGTGAATTTTCCAAGTTAGCAGAAAACTGCTCTAGCTGACCCATCTGACACCATCTCATAGCACAGAGTAGAATTATGTCCTGAGAACTGCAGAAAGGCTTTTTTT